TGCTCATCTAAAGCATTGCTCCTAAGTGGTCTAAAAACATTTTGTACAAGAAACACCCTTGGTAGAGCTACTCACTTTTGTCTCATGTAAGAGGACATTTAGAACAAGTTTTCTCATATTTACAAAGCACTTAACATTTTAGGCCTTTATAGATATTAGCCACTGATATATCTACATGTTGACAATAGAGACCAGGTATATTCATAAATATAGCACACCCCAGAGCCAGCAATGCTTTACTTAGGCTTCTGAATTTATTTCATTTAGTAAAAAATTTACTTTCAGCTAGGTAATAGTTGCAACAAAAACAGTCACACCCTTCCCCTCATACCCTTCCCTCCACCTCTACTGAGCTGCTTTTCGATGTTTTTAATAGACTGCGAAAAGCTAAAGTGCAAGTTTTGAATTTTAAAGAGTTACTTCAAAAGTGAATTTTCACCTTAATTCAGTTGACTGTTTCTTCTTACTTGGATTGCATTCATTTAAAAACAAATTTATAATATTCATTGCAGATATTTGTTTACAGATGTTTACTCATTGACAATGCTGTATGAATCTGAATACTTTTTACCATTAAATCAGCACACCTGAGTTGTGTGGCACATGTAAATAAAGAGACTTAATAACAAGATATGCCTAGGTAAACAGTTCTCCATAAACTGTTTACATCCAAACGAGCAACAGAAACCAGTCTTAAAGAAACTACATTTAAAAAGATCATGAATATAGAAAACCTATTTTTCACACTGTTGGAAGAGAATCTGAAGGAAATTAAATATCAGAACTCAATTCTGCTAGCACTGGGAAATGCAACATGTGCCACCTTTTTATTAGGCAGAATCACTCCACAGAAGGACATTTCCAGCTTCCTTCAATGTCCTTATTCCTGCTTCTGATCAAAGCAAGTCCCTGGCTCCTGTGACTTCATTCCTCAATTCCTGTCTTTTAGTGAAGCAGTGGTTCAGTGGTGACAGATATTTCCATCATTTTTATTGAAAACTAAAAATATTTGCATGAATTCGGAAATGAAGAGAAATATATATGCAAGATGGGCCTTAGGCTGAAGGGCACTCCAGACATATAAATCAATTTGCAGTATTAAAGCAGTCAGGTTCTAATAATAGAGAGAATGCTTAAAAATTGAAAAAGTTTTAAAAGGTACTAAAAGGGTTTAGGAACATTAATTATTTCCAAACTCTTTAGGAGGGCTTCTGAAGCTAAATCTCATAAGCATTTTCAGAATCTCTCTCCTTAAATTATTTAGTCTTAAGATAATATTAAAATAAGTTTTTCACTTGATAGGCAAGTGGCATAGTCTGTTACTATTCCAGTATGTCTCTCTCCAGTTATTGTGTTTTAAGGAAGAGCCTTGAGTTTGAGTTTTTTAATAGTTTTGAGTTTTTAACTTGTATTTTTTTTTCGGTCTTTAGTCAAGTCTTAGCTTACACTTGCATTATGCTAGTTTTATTATTTTTATTACTCAATTTACCAGCTGCAAACAAGAACTCTGTTACAAATGTCCATCCTGGCTACAACCCTGCTATTGCTAACGAACTTCTAAAGCCACATTTCAGACAGATGTGGATTCACAGGTCACAGTACTTCTTGGGGCTTTTGTATTGAGACATAGGTAAACAGCCAGTTCTCTAATAACAAGTGATACTGGTTACAGAGAAGCACTTAGAAGAGGTCATGGGAAGAGGCTAGAACCTCTGCCAAACCTATTACTTACACCATCTAAACGCGTATCAATTAGA